ACGGACGCGGGTGCTTAGTTGGGGGGGGGCCACGCGGCGGCGCGGCAGTCTGCTCGCCTGGCATGTTCGGAAATCCGTGGGCCGGGGGGTGTAGGCAGTCTAGGGGGGGGGGTGGGGGCAGTCACTTGACATGCGTGAAAAGCTGGAATGTTCGAGTTTACACTGTCTCGCTCGAGAGAGCCCAGGTGAGCAGACTGCCGCGCCGCCGCGTGGCCCCCCCCAACTAAGTTAGCACCGAGTAACTTATTGAACATCAATTAGAAGTAAAATAAGGAACTGTAAAGCATACATTGATAGAGGGGACATGAAGCTTGTCCAACCAAATGCTTCAATCCATGAGCGTGGGATTTTCAATTTTTATTATTATCAAACATGTCATAAGGATGTGAGGAGTCACCATCAACAATAAATCAAATACGAATACATTCAATTATCTAAATTTTTTTGTTCCATTTCCAATCTGGAATATTTTTAACTAGCAAGTTTTGTCTACATCACCGTCCACCACGAGAAATCTTCATAAGAAAATAAATGTACATAGATTAATGTAATGGAGACTTAGCTAACAACAGAGTAATTTCTACAACACAACAAAACACATGAGTCTCAGTAAGTGGAGAGCTTCAAGAATTAAAAACGATGCTTCAGCATCAGCAAATTATATCGGTAAATAACGCAGCTTCTAAATGAGATTGAATAAATAAAAAGACCTTGCGTGAACATAAAACTAAAGTAATCGATCAAATGTGTGATGATAAATAATGAGCACAAAAAAAAACAGAGGAGAGGGACAACAACCTTTAAAAGTCTACGACTGCGTTCTGAAAAAAATATAAGCATAACAATACAAGACCCGAAAGACTTCCGTAGATTTCAGGTGATGCCTCAATATACTCCCATTACATAAACGAATAGATGGGAAACAATGTTCAGATCACACACTCTCTCAAATGAGGATATTCAGGAGAAGAACTATCAACGCACACATTTTGTCTTGTCGATCACAACGATCTCAATGAAAACAGCAATTCATGTTTGGTAATCTATCGCACACTCGCTTCAATTTCAAGTAAACTTGCTGATTTTTATAATGCTAACGATTTCGACTGGTAGCACTACCGCTTAATCACATTTGATTCAGCTTCGTTCTTATATTTCTAATCCTTCACATATTTCGTAAGTAGTTTAAAAAGGAACCGATTGTGCGAGAAAGGACTGAACGGTCAGCAGTTCAATGTTGATACCCAAATGCGCATGGTACAATAAGAAAAAATACAGTGATGTGCAGCAGCTGACAGTGCAAAGACAAAAGAACGACGAAAATGTAGCCGGTGGAATGAGAATATTTGTACACGAGGTCCGCAATACTGGTGAAGTTCAATACAGAAAAATGCTCTTCGTCCAGTTCATGAAGCTGAAACACTTGAGTAGGTCAAATATTTTAAAAGTTCCTCAATAGATTTGTGGCAGAATGTCTGCTCTCCAATCAGCGCTTGTATTGTTCTGGCACCATATTTCGACAAAAACCACTATAAATTTCGGCACACTAAAATAAAAAGGTACTGGAATGCGAACTATGCTCTATGATAAGCCCCGCTCGCTACAGGTATTGTTCAGACCGGCAATATTTACCCTTTAAACCCCACTCGTCAAAAGCTGAGGAGAGCTGGATTTTAATTGAAATTTTCCACGATTGTGGATTTGGCTAGAAACTTGCCTTCTGGGTAATTCGACCCGTAGAACACGAATATCACATTTGTTTACCGCTAGAACGCCTGGCGCTCGCGCCAGAAGCGCCGGCGCCAAAAGGCGCCAGAACATCTCGGATCACCAAATTCGCTGGAAACTTGTCTTCAGAGGTATTTTGACCCGTAGAACATGAATATCACATTAGTTCGTTGCGAGTGAGCCTGTAGCCTGCGCTACAGGCGCCGCGCAAAACTGTTGTGGTAGCGCCGGCGCCTGTGGCGCGAGCGCTAGGGGTCATCGCGCTAAATTGATGCCATATCGTATTCAACTGATATTGATATTCATGTTATCATACTGATATGTTCGCTAAACTGATATTCATGTTCTGGGGTCGAACTATTATACCTTGATGAAAAGGTTTCAGCGAATTTGGTGATCCAAGATGTTTTGGCGCCTCTTGGCGCTGGCTTTGTGGCGCGCTCGTGAGTTTTTGCGCTGAACGAGTGTGATATACGTGTTCTACGAGTTGAACTACCTCAGGAGCCAACTTTCGAGTCAGGTCCACAATCGTGGAAAATTCCAATTACAATCCAGCTCTCC